TAATGTGGAAGGATATTTCTTCCTTATGGAAGAATTCCAATTAATAAATACACAAGGACTGAGGGAACTACAAAACCACCATTAGGCAAACACTACATTCATCATTGCAAGCAAGGTGGATGCTAAAATCAGTGGGTAAAAGCTTGAGAAAAAAATAGGGTATTTACATAGTTTCAACATATTGTCCCCAAGGTATCAATTACAAAGGAGAAAAATAAAAACTTTACAGTGGAGAAACTCAGCGGATACTACCTTAACCAAGTGATCATAGTTAATACATTAAAATTAAAAGACTGTTGAAAGACTGTCAACAGATCAGAGGAGGCTAAGAAAACACAAGTAGATGCAAGGTGGGATCTTGAATCATAGAACAGGAAAAGGACACGAGTGAAAAAACTGGTGAAATTCAAATAAGATCTGTAGTTTTAGTTAATGGTATGTCAATATTATTAATATCAATATGTCAGTGTTAATTTACTGATTTTGATAAATGTACTGTGATTGTATAAAATGTGAACAGTTGGGAAGCTGATAGAAAGGTATACGTAAACTCTATACTATTTTTTACAACTTTTCTGCTAGTCTAAAATTATTTAAAAATCAAAGTTTTTAAAATAGCATGGTATTGACAAAAGATATGTTAGTTTCCTAGGGTTGCTGTAACAAAATGCCACAAATTGAGCAACTTAAAACAACAGAAATATAATCTCATAGTCATGAAGGCTAGAAGTTCAAAATTGAAGTGCTGGCAGGGCAGTGCTTCCTCTGAAGGCTCACGGGGAGGATCCTGTCTTGCTTCTTCCTAGCTTCTAGTGGTTACCAGCAGTCCTTGGCATTCCTTGGCTTGTAGCCGCATCACTTCAGTCTCTGCTTATCTTCACATGCCCATCTTTGCTGTCTGTGTCTCTGCATATCCTCTGCTCTTTTAAGGACACCAGTCAAATTGGATTTAGGGTCCATCTTAATCTAACATGACCTCATCTTAACTAATTAATAATCTGGAAAAAAAAC